ATAGAATATAATTATACTGAACGTTTGGAATTGCTAAGTTAAAAAAAATAGTTCCCCATACAAACTTGCACTCCTTTTTAAGGGTAGTTTTGAAAAATTAGTTGCAACTTTTTTGATAATTTTAATAAAGAGTGTTTATTAGTAGATTGAAAACTTTACTACCAAAAACAACGCAGTTTTGTACATAAATTTCCAACCCCTATTTTGCATACTTAGGAGTGGAATTTTTGAAAATCTTTTCTTAGTACACACCTACGTCACCTCCCTTAGTGCACACCTACGTCACCTTAGGAACATTTGCGAAAAATTTCATGCTTCTAGACCCAGCGGTTGCAGCTGTGCGTTGATCGGTCAGTCAGTGAATCAATCAATCGAATAAATCAATCAATCAGTTTCTTCTTTCATAGATATAGATTAAGTTACTCAGTGACATTGTCATAGACAAAACTTCTTAAAATAAAGGAAAAAAGTTAACACTTCTTGGCACAACAATGTTTCATTATTATGCCCATGCAAATATTGCATATTATTGCACGCCTTGGTTGCGTTAATTCTGAAATTAGTATAATGATTTCGTAGATAAAATTATGCGTGTATAAAGGCTCATGGCTAAGTAGTAACCGAGTAGGTCAGCACATTGCAGGTTAGTCTATGGATGGGTGACCATTATTACCACATTGAGACGTTACGTTGCGGGTAACGTAACGAACCCTTGCGACAACAGTCTATCTAGAGAACTTCGATATCGCTCGTACTTGGGTTGTGGAGGACTGATAGCAGGCGCTGCACGTAAAAAAACGAAGAAGTAGAGTGAAAGCCGACCCTACCTAGTTTGGGTAAAGGCTCGAAGGATGAGAGATATTAACGTATAAAAATTAGTACTTAGACTAACCTTTCAATCACCCGACGTTTCGACCAGAATTCCAATTCTCGTAATAAAAGTTCGGTCTCAATTCAGTTCCGATCAACTTTCGATCTCACAACTGTCGGTACTTAAGGTACTTTCGTAGTAAAATTTTAAAGTATTACTAAGACTAGCAGATTACCGATTCAATTTTCGATTGAAATACGATGTAATCACATTACAGTCAACGTTGGATGTTTAATAATTTACTACAAAAATACCTTTTGTGACAGTTGTGAGATCGAAAGTTGATCGGAACTGAATTGAGACCGAACTTTCATTACGAGAATTGGCCTTCAGGGTGCACTGGTTGTATTCACAAACTGACTGGTTAAAAATTACATGATTGCGTTAATTCCTGTAGAAATCATGAAATACGACAGTTAATTTTAGTATAATTATAAAGAATCAAGTACCTGGTTATAATTATAAGCATTTTTTTGTATTTTATGTAAACGGTTATTTTAGAGCACACAATGTTGTAGTGTTTTGTTTTTCTAAATAGATTACTATTTAAAAAAAGTTGAAGGTCAATGGAAATATTTCAACACATTCATATAGTCTTTGTTTCCTTTATATTCTAATATTGCCTTTAATCTCAACTTTAAGGAGCGCCATTTTGATTGCCTTTGACGTTATTTTGAGATTAAAATTCAGTTAGAATCTCGACTTTCATTACGTTATTTATTATTGCTTAAAATTACAAAACAACATTTTTATCGTACATGATGTCCATATTTATAATTCGCATTTCAAAACAATATAGCTATTTTTAATAGATATGTAATGGAACCGAAAGATGCGCGAAGACTAGATCGAGATCGGTATGACGTGTAAAAGCTTATTAGGACTGGAACATTATCCAGCCTGGAACCCTGTAACAGAAATCAACTACCTATTTTAAGATATTCTTTTTAAATTATAATTTAGATAACATATCTCACACTCGGCCTTCTGATCCCAAATTACGCAGAGCCTGTAATTATGGTAATCAGGCTGCAGATAATCATATTTATAATATTTAGGTAATACATTCAGTGGTGCAGTGGTAGCGTAGGTAGGTAGGTTCGGTCCTCGGCTCTGACCGAATGTTTGTATGATCTGCAAATATTTTTATGGAGTTTGAATGTTTTCTATGTACGAGTATAATATGTATTATAAAAAAAGTATAAAAGTATTGTATCAGTCAATCTTGCTTTCATAGTATAATCTCTGTTTGTGTTAAATGTCCGAAATTTTATTATTGTTATTCATATGATAGATCAATTACACCCAGACGCAGATCAAAATTATCGTGCTCATTACAAAATTATATTATCCTGGGTGGGAATCGAACCCACGACTTGTGAACAAGGGGCCAACCTGTCCAACAATATTATTATTTTTCGTCAATTCACATACTTACTTAGCAATTCTTTTAAGTTTTCGCATTTATCAAATTGCAATGCTCTATATGTTTATAATAAATGTACTACTTAGTAAGTAAATAACATTCACAATATCCGCAACGAGGTCGATAGTCCCCATTAGCATAAACGACTAAGGAATTTGACTCATGGCGAGCGTTTACAATCACATATATCATTATCATTCTTGAAAATTTATTAAGGGTACTTCATGTTACCGAGTAGTGAACATAACTCAAACGTTCCAGAAAACGATGTATTAACGGTTTTCCGAAGGATGTCATGGCAGCTGGGTTGGTACGGGATTTTCATAGCCGTAGCAATTTTTTTATGTATCTAAACTCATAGCCATCTAGCAGCATAACGGCCTTGTTCTCTAAGATTATGAAATCCGTAATCAATTGCCAGCTCCCCGGTACTAAGAAAATCACCAGCTACTCAATGACCAATAGTGATGTTTTCGTTTATCTAACACAGGCGATCGAGACCAAAGGAGAGGCTTGTGCGGTAAGCTTGGACATAGCGAAGCCTTCAATCGGGTCTGGCATAAGGCGGTTCTCTCATTGCTCCCTTCATATGGGCTTCTCGAGAAATTTTGTATCTGATTCACCAGTTTCCTTGGAGCATCTACATATAGTGCATGCTCCCACTTGAAATCTGTAAATCCCGCAAGGCTGTGTTTTATCACCCACACTCTTTCTTCTACATATCAATGATATGTTGCAATCTAGTAGCATCGATTGCTTTTAGCAAACCGTACAGCAGTAGTACATTGGCCTTAGGTATTCTCTCCCAGTCATCCAAGTTATCCTTATTTTTTTACTTAATAATCTTTTTTGTATCCCTACCAAGTTCCTTGAGAAAATGTTCATTTTACATTTGCACAAGAGAAATTTCTACACTCACTTAGACGCGCAATTCAATAGCTTGTTTTATTATTTACGTTGTTTCTTATTACCGCGGCCTTATACTAAAGGTTGAATAGTGCCTGATTGACACCTTCTTGTTTTCCGCTATTACGAGTTCCCACTATTGTTTCCGAGATTATTTCCCGTGAAGCCAATAGTTGAGTGTACGACTACACATGTTATACGGACGCTCTGTCTAAGTGCTCTTCAATGTTTTTGCTAAGACCATCAATGAGGGCGAATTTCAATATTCAGACTTAAAAAGTTAGCTTTTGTATTTACAGAATTGAGATGTTACCTACAGTTAAAATATTTTTATCAGACCTTACGACCGTGGTTACGGATTAAGAATAGTGTGTCGCCACCCGTATTCTTCCCGTGGGTGTCGCAAACCACGCAGGACAACAGCACTGCAAAGAGAAGGAAAACTTGAAACGAACTATACGAGTATACCAACCCGTTTGGTCAGCGTGGTATAATAGGCTACAATCTTCTTTCTATTGAGAGGCCTATGGCCAGCAGTGGACTAATTAAAGGCTGTCGATGAAGATGACGATAATACAAGCATTAAGAGAGACATTTAATAATATCTTATGTTTTTGTTTTTAATTTTGTTATTATTTTTTATTGTCAAATGATTATAATTATTTTAAAAATTATGACATCACAAGCAGTTATTTTATACCAGTTTACACTGAACTCACTGTATGTACATTAAATAAAGTCATTTGATTTGATAGTAAACTATTAAGCTATAACGTATGTATATTAAGTTGTGTCCGTGTGGTGACGGATTTAGAATACGGAATGTCACCACCCCAATTCATCCCGTGGGTGTCTAAGGGCTAATCCGACTAAGGGCACAAAACAATGCAGGAAACCAGCACTGCAAAAAGAAGGAAAACTTGACACAAAGCCGTCTGGTCAGCGTGGTATAGTAGGCCAAAACCTCCTTTCTAAGGACAGGCCTATGTCCAGCAGTGGACGATTAAAGGCTGTTGATGTGATACAAAGCTAACGAATGTTACTAAAATTCTAAAATGTATAAATACACGCTCTTTAGGAAGACTGCTGACAAAGTTTTATTAATGATATATAAGGTAACAAACGAGCAGATTTGTCACCGGTAAGTGACTATCGCCGCCCATGGAGTTACTCAAGAGTCACAACTCACTAGAATCAGGGGGGAGGGATTTGGGCTCCGGTAACCTCACTCACTTGGTGAAAAGCAACTAAAAAACTGGTTAACACGGGTTTTCTGTGAGGCCGGGTTATCACTCCAGTCGAGCCTGCCCATTTGTGCCGAAGCATGGCTCTTCCACGGTTAAAACATATTTCACTTACAATCTCCTCTATAATGTTTCACAAATTTTACAATTATTATTTTATACTTAATAATCCATACTTTTATATTATAAATGGGAAAGTGAGTTTGTTTGTCTGTTACGCTTTCACGCCTAAACCACTAAACCGATTTAAAAAATTATTTCACCAATGGAAAGCTACATCAGTGAGTAACATAGGCCAATTTTTACTACGATACGATATGATAATAAAAAAATACTAAGTTTTTAGTTAAACTAAAAAAAGGAATATTTACAAAGTGTTAATTTAATTGTTTTCAGATCATCGTCATCATTTTCACCAAGAAAACCGTCATCTCATTCCATTGAGAAGATGTAGTATTTCACCAGCATCGTTAACTCGTCAAATAAGACTGAATACCACGATCGGTAGAAATGCTTTGGCTTAGTTTGAAGTGAGATCCTATCGTCAGCAAAGATGTCTTCGAGCAATGAGCTGAGCGATCCGGAGACACCGAAGCTGCGTATGAAGCCAGCAGTTAGCAGAATATTTTGCTGCAGTGTTACTGCTGCCTCTGGATTTATCGCGGCATATGCTTTGGTGAGATATTTTTTTTTAGATTCAGCAGCTTCAGGTTATATGTAGACTTTAATGATTTTTCCTCGAATGAGGGAAAACAAGTTATGTGAAAGTCTAAACTAGGCAGCGCATGTTCTGTGGTAACCAGACTGAATATTTCTACTATATAATATTATAGATAAACTACACTTAGACACAGAATAAGTGATCGTGCTCATAACACAATTATTTGTCCTGGAATACACAACCTCCGGCTTAGCAGTCAGAGTCACAAACCAATGGACCATCAGCCCAGTCATTCAGGATAGAAAATATCTGTGTGAAAAATTACATCCCAGTAGCGTACATCATTTTAGCGTGAAAAAGTAACAAACTTACTAACATACACATGCACGCACGTAAGATTCTTTGCATTTATAATAGCAGAGGGATTTGTATATATGCAGTTTGTGTTCATAAGCATCATTCACTCCAATATCATAAACTTAGGGCTTTCAATTTTCTCTTGGCAGAAAAGCTTATACAATTTTCTTGGCACATTATCCAATAGTATATAACTAAGCTAAGACAATAACAGTAACTTTCAACTGAATTTTAACAAAATGCTGGTGAGGTGGATCGTGATGCATCTGCTATAAATAAGCACCTTTGCACCTTAGTTTTATATTTTGATATATCTTACAAATAGTCCAAATTTGTAGACCGTAAAGCTTACGATTTTCTTAGCACCTTATCCAATGATAATTTTCTTATCAAATTTGTAGGTGTGATAACGAGTACACATTGAATACAAAGCGAAGGGGAACCCTAAATGCACACTGCTTCTTTCAGTTACCATTACATAGTATAAAATAAATTCGCTTCCCGTTCTTGTTAAAAATAAAACCTACCATTACGAGAACTTATAAATATCCACAGTCATAAAATAAAATATTCATAGTTCAACTATAATAGGTATGTTACACGTAGTAATTTATGGCAGTATGTAGTGTGTAGCAAAATGCAGAATAAGTGGCAAAATTAACAAAAGTAATTTAAATATTTAAAAATGTACAAAAATTAAAATAGTTATAAAATATAATAATTAACAGTTTAGTATATTTTGCAGACACATAATAGCGAGTGTACAGTGAATTTGAAGTACGAAGACTCATTATAAAGACATATTACTATCGCGTTGCATAATAATGTAATTATATTTACGAAAATTTTGAAAAAAAACCTTTGAAATAGCTGGCTGTCAGTCGGTCTTTCGTCTCATAGCTCTCTAAACGCGTTTATTCCCGAGAACATAAACTACACTACTATTATAAAACTGAAAAACATTTCATTTCATTATTATAAAGCTGAAGAGTTTGTTTGTTTGGTTGAACGCGTTAATCACAGGAACTACTGGTTTGAATTTAAAAATCTTTAAGTATTGGATAGCCCATTTAACGATATAACATAGGCTAATAACACACTGCGATTAAAAACGGCGTGAGGGGTCTATGGATCCACGGTCGTAACGAAGTTCTTTTCGCTTTTTGGTAGACGTTTGATATATATATATATGAAAAAGATATGAGAAGTAAAGGAAAAAAATCTTGTTTCACATTTTTCGGCCCCGCTCCCATCCGCTCCAATAGTAACCGAACATCCTATTCCTTTCGGGAGATACGTCAGTGATACGATCCAAAAGCTTATCATATACCTATACATTCATGCCTAAATCTCAGAAGGAATAGGTATATTTTGCCAACTATAATTTTAGTCACACTCACGTTATGGGGGAAGCCTATTGGCGTCAACCTGGCACTTAAAGAAATTTATACAAAAAGGTACGGCAAGCATAGAAAAAGTATGCTTTTGATACGAAGTTCCTTATCGCGCGTCCCATGCTCTGAGCGAAATCGAGCGCGACTGAAAATGTGTAACTTTTTCCCGACACTTCTTGCGGAACTTCGTTCTGACTGAGTCCATAGACCCCTCACGCTGATTTATTTCCTAAATTTTTATTTAATATTAACTACTTAATTATCCGAGATCATTCAGCGTTTAATTTATCATTATTTATTTTATACATAATAAATATATTTTTAACATAAATTTTTCAAAAACTCTATTTTACTTCATATTTTATAAAATATATTATAACGGCTGTATAGCAAACGTCTACCAAAAAGCGAAAGGAAATTCGTTCCGACCACGGGTCAATAGACCCCTCACGCCGTTTTTTTTATTTATTTAGAAAATAATTATCCAGTAAGTATAGTTTGTACACTAAGCATTAAATCACTAAGGTTTGTAGTAAATGCTACAAGTAGTCTGTGTACTTACAAAAATCACGACAGTACAAATGTTAAAAGTAAACGTTAAACTGAATACAACGTTTCTTTTTCTGTTTATTTTGAATAAATAAGGCGGGTAGGTAATACCATTTGCAGGTAATCACGGGCTTTGCATGTTCTCCAGAAAATAAAACTTCGGTTTATATTAATTACGTACTCCATGTAATCATTGAGTAATTGTATTTCGTAAATCGGAAAGTAGTTTATACTAATGAGTTTAAGAATATAAGCAGCAGCTCGGGTACGTCATGGTAGCATATCTATAACTCGAATTACAGGCTATTTACTGACAAGATCGAATCCCCTAACCGACAGACAATTAATATTGTTTCTAATTCGAAGTTGAAACATGCAACAAGTAATACATTATTATTATACAGAACACGTAGAATACAGTCTATGACAAATAACTGTATTGTAGCCATATTGCCGCGCATTTTGAGTAACAAGTTACAAATAACGGTTGTTTTGTAACGTTCTCTGTTTATTGCACCTTCCAAATTAATGAGATATATTTATGGCTTATACCTTGAGTAAATAATATATACCCGTACAATTGTCATGAGCAGATAGGCTATATTTAAATGTAAAATTTATTTGAGTTAGCTAACTCAAAACATGGATCTATCAACAATATGATCAAGGTCTTCAGGTCTCAGTAACGCCATGGCCGGTAGTGACAGATGTTTCACAATAACAGCATTTCCCGGATCCCTCCAATTTTAGGAACAGAATGTCACACTATATGGTTCTGGATTCCGACACACCAGCCCGCCGCATAACCCGGTGGGGTGACGGCCCGAGGGGGTTTCCACACGTAAAAAAAATGTCTCAGCATGCCCAATTTCTAATGATGACGTTAGCAGTGCTGTCTAACCATAGTCTGCTGTAGGGTTGAAGTTCATCCAGTACTACATAGTTATTATTGAATCATATTCTTTGTTTGAGGTTTTTGTTAGAAATTACTCCGGCTTAAAAATCTGTGGTACGATACTGTGCCATATTAGTGAAGGTCTTATACAAAAATAATCTTACCAATGTTCTTTTTATAGTAATACCTAGAATAAAACACAGCATGACGCCTGTATACTTGAAATATTTTCGAAAATATGATAATATATGAATGTCATTATTACATCATAATCATACATTTCAAACTAATTATACCTAGCGGTACCCTGCCATTAAGTAACACAGCAGTAATACGTAGGCCTAAAATATTATAAAATTTGATACAGTACACTAATTTTTACATATAACTGCGTTTGAGTGAGTGATTTGATTACTGGTATTGCAACCATAGAGCATAGAGGTCGCTCTTCTTATTTTTTCACAGAGGTGTTGTCAACTTGCTTGTTTGTCTGGTTTAGTGGATAGTGATTCTGATTGCCAAGCTTATAGGTCGTAAGTTCGATTTCTATCTAGGGCAAACAATTGTGCGATGATTGTGATGAAAATGATTATTTGTTCACACAGTAACGTATAAAGAGAAGTGAAGTTATTAAAAAAGAAATAATATCAGATTTAACAAAGAACACATTAATATTATTATGTAATATTTTGACACTAACGACTCATAATAATTTATGTGAAAATTCAATTACTCAAAACTAAATACTGCCTACGCTACCCGAAGTCACGGATTCGATTCCCGCTCTATGCCAATGTATATTTGCATGACTGTCAATTAGCATTGGTATTTATTATTATATGTAATATGCATGTTTTTACAAAAGTTTATAGCCTTCAAGAACCTATAAAACAAGTTCTGATTGGTCTGACAAAATTGGGTCTAAGTAACGATGTGTAATATGTCTCAGGATATTATTATTAGTATCTACTTCATTTGTGCACAGAACTAGGATCCTGTCTGACAGGTTATCTATGCTGTTCTCTCATGATGACGAAACCACGAGACGTAATGGTGAAAGTATTCTTATTGTTGTTCCTAACGTGTTTGTTTCTAAATTTTGTGAATAATATGTACTCATAAACAGACTAAGACAAAGAAATCAGAACGTTTTTCTCTTGGATATTTATCTGTTTTTTATTGGCTGTTATTTGAACGATGTTATCAAAAACCACTTGGGACCTTTGTTTTAATAATAATCACAGTAATTTGGGTCGAATAATTTTAACCAAACGACGAGTTTTGACAAATATAGTTTTTGTCATAAGTTTTTTCATAACCATAGTGATAAAGATAGGTATTTTTGAAACTTGATTAGTCTTGCTTTCGTGTGTTTAGAATGCTTTATATGAAATATTACATATTTAATGCATTATCCATCTTTGGATAATTAATTAATCGACATATACCTCGTTATGTTACTCACTTACCGGACCCGATTGCCTTGCCTTCACTACTTCCTGATTTTTAAAGATTGTGACAAGTTGAACGTCCGATTCCTAACTTTTCGCTGACTTGTAAATGTTTAGACTAATAAGATATTGTAAAATTTGCCTTTTATCATTTAAAATAGATTTTTATTGATCATGTTAACTATATACGTATACACGTAGAATGTATGTTCTACGTATATTTTATATATACGTAGAATGCGTACAAACAGATATTGTCTGAAAAAAAAACAAAAAAGATAATTAATTACGTATGCATTTTATTTGCAAAGAGCAGATGTCAGTCAAAATAAGACAGGCGTAAAAAGTGCGTAACAAGTGATCTGACAACCAATACTCCACATTCTTTCTCTTGACATGGCAAAGTAGGTAATGAAGTACGGATTTCACTTCATGATGTATTTAAGTCAAGTAAGCTTTTTTAAACTATTACATTTAGCTTACAAAAGGTCTGTGCAACCAAACACTTCGTATCTTTTATTTGAACTGTGTCCCGATATATTGGGCAATTTAGCTCTGTACCTCCAGAGCGGTGCAGAGTAGATACTTAATAAAATTGATCTAAAACTGTCAAAAATATATGTTCCAGGTGGCGTACGCGATAGCGTTAATATATGAAATAGTTTGGATATTCGAGTCTCAGGGCGGGATGCCACTGGCTTCCGCGTTGCTCATGGTGTGCTACTGCGTGGTTATCGCTGCTACCGTCACTCTCGTACATGGACTTATAGCTGTAAGTGTACATATATAAGAGATATAAGTCATAACTCTAATAAGTGTAGGGACTACTTTTATCACTGCACTGATGGCGTAGTTGTTTAAGCGGTCAACTCGCTGCTTCCTACTGCTACATGGCACAACACCTTGTGTAATCCACAAATTGTTGTTCTGAGTCTGAGTGTTTTTTGTATCTGTTTCATGAATACGTGTCTGAGCCCACTACCTTACTAGAAAAAGCAAACGAACAGACGGGTCACCTGATGGTAAGTGACTACCGCCGCTCATGGACTCCTGCAACTCAAGAGTCACAAGTGCATCCCCTTAGTTATCCCCCCACCCCCAAAGAGTTTGGGCTCCGGTACCTTAATTAGTGAAGAACAATGAAAAAATCGCTTAACAGAAGTTTTCTGTGAGGCCGTGGTATCACTCTGGTCTAGCCTGGCCCTTTTGTGCCGATGCAAACCTCTCCCACGGATTTCGTCCAGGACAACGTGGACCGTCTTTCTAAGAAGCTAAAGATCTCTAAGTATAGCCGATGCTATACTTAGAGTCTTTTGGTCAATCTTATATATTACGCCTGATAAAATTTATTTATGTTTCAGAAAAACAACAGATGTCTATTGGCATGGCTGATAGCAGTCATTCTTGTTCTGATACCAGAATGTGCTCTAGTCTTCTATATGTCCATAAGTCATTGGGTAAGGAAATTACAATTATAATACATTTCATCACATCACAATACCATGAACAGACACACACAAAAAAGATACGTGAAAATCAGCTATCGAGCGGAAAGATTTGAATATTTCAATGACATTCAGATTCCTAATTGTCGCTCTTTTAATCAGATATTAATAAATTCCACGTTAAAATGATTGATACGAACCACTGTACGTATAATACACAATCACTATTTCAAAGCCATTACTGTGGGAAAAGCATAAGGATCGATTCAGTCTTCTTCATTTTCTTTCGTATGGATAACAATATAAAATATTGCACATGCTACCAGTGTACAAACTACACATTATGTCAAGGTCGCAGCATACAGTCCAACTCTAGGTTAGTTTTAATTGTAGACAAGACACAACTGTTACAAATGCAATCTTAAACATTCCCCATTCAACAACACAATAGACCTCTCTCATAGCTGCTGACATGTACCGCTGATACAGAAATGTGATTGCCCCACCATCAAAAATATTGACCATCAACGCACAGTATGTCAAGATACCTTAAAATCGGACTTGCTCGTTTCTTTAAATAAAACGTTTAGGAGACATTTTACAAATATTACAGTAAAACTCCAGCTTGAAAATTCCACATAGTTTTCTAGAAATTTGAAATTGATTAATTTACTCATTTCATTTCATCCTCATTTAATATTTTTTTTAATTTAAGTTATTAAGGAACGGCATTTGAAGGAAATGAAAGGATTTTAAAGCTAAGTTTTTATACACTACTAAAATACATATCAAGCAAGCTGTCGCAATAAAAATAGTTTGCATATGTCATGGTGAAATTGAGTAAACAAATAAAAACTGAAATAACGAAAAAAAAACCTTTTTAAATACAAGCATTTACGAAGAATATTAAACGCTTATTACGTGTATTTTAAGGGGTCTGGGAAATAGCGTAGATAAGATTCTTTTTCCTTTTTTTGAAGTGAGTAAATTAATTTATTACAAATTTTTATATCTGGAAGTCTATGTAGAATTTTCGAACAGGAGTTTTACTATAACATTTTTAAAAATAAGCTCTAAACATTTGATTTAAAAAACGAGCATGTCCGATTTTAAAGTGTCTTGACATACTTGCAACGGTATGTTGGTGTAATTATCGACAGCAAGATGGATTGGATAATTTAAATAAAATAATATTATAATTTCTCAGGGTATTTCAATTTGGAGAATTAAAATGCCCTGAAAAGCCAAGATCAAAGTAGTAAACTTTACTCTTTCTATTCCAATTAATTAACACTATTACTCGTAATAACTTGGCGCAGTTGTTTAAGCGGTCACCTCGCCGCTTCTTAATCAGCCCACTACAATTCTGACATCCCTTTCATAAACATAATCAACCAATATAACATTTTTAAGATCCATAAAAATTATGTGTATTTACAGGGTCTTCAAGGAGTATATGGTGGCGCAGAGTTAGCTTGTTACGTAGCTCGATTACCGGCAATCGTTTGTGGTGTTGTTCTGGTCCAATCTGCTTACGCACTAAGAGAGGCCAGGTAAGTTTATCATCATAATTATATCTCGCCTCTCCACAACAATATTATGCTGTTATATTAACGATATGTTTAAGTACGTGCTCTGGAACATCCTGACGTTCTTGACCAGATTACACTGGCCTACTAATATTTGACACACACAGCTCATGCTGCCGTAGCCGCAGGTCTAATAACCGCTTTGTCTATGGATACTAGCAACAGGCTGTTAGTCGAATCGAAACTACAAGCGTTCTGTTGTTATATCACAATTTATGTGTGTTAGAAGTGTTTATATCACAAATTACCCCCTGAGGGATTGACCTACAATAACTTACAAACTACGTAGGACCACAGCACTTCAAAGAGAAGAAAATCTCGAAAAAACTCTTTTTTTAATTGTTTAAACCCCTTCGGGCCGTCACCCCACCGGGGTTTGCGGCGGGCTAGTGTGTCGGAATCGGAATGACTAAATCCACGCGGTGTGCCACTCTGCGCCTGTAATAGGAGGGATCCGGGGACTGCTGTTATTAGGACGTCCGGACCCCTCCTAGCGCCTGCCCGCAACGGCGCGGGCACCACTTTCGGGTGCATTCTCTATTTAGGCGACGTCCAGCACACGCGGACGTCGCCCCCTCGTCGCGGCTGGCCGTTATGGTAGATTGAGGGGAAAGCCCGTCCCGTCTACCCGCGGCCACACTCAGGGTGGCATGAGGCGCTGTTGAGCTCGCCCCCGCTGCCCGGTTCGTCGGCGGCGAATTGGGTCCGGGTGGAGATCATCCTCCCGGGCCCTCTCCGCGCCTCCTTCTGCGAGATGACATCTTCGCAGAAGCACCACAGTGGACTATTAAAGGCTGTTGATGATGAACCTAATAATACAAAAACTGGATGTTTACAATAATATCCGATACTTAACATCTCTTACAAGGCTGAGCCCATAACTTTGACGTATAATATACCGAGCAATATGTATTAAAATCTTAAACTATAACCAGGTACGCCACAATAAAATGGATAAGGTTTATATAATAATATCAGTACCAAAGGAAAAAAAAAATCACATTTAATGAACATTTTCATGAAATGAACTATATACAAATATGAATTAAGTCAATTTTTAATTGATACATTCCCAGTAATTTAAGAATGGATTTTACCTTTCTCTTATGATTTTTGCTAATTTCAGGCAAGCGGGTTATAACGCAGGAACAGGAGGAGTTAGTGGGAGTGAGTTCGATGCGAGTCAGTTCGTGCCTGACGCGCCCTCAGCTTTTACCAACGATGCCTTCCTCCCCGATAATGGTAATATCATCAGTAACATAAGCACATAAAATCTGGTAGGCAGCTATACTTTCTGTTAACTGTGGCTAAGCTTGGATGCAGACAGGGCAAATGAAGGTGCGCTGAAGATAATTATTTGTACTAGTATCGAACGCACGATCTGTTCTGGCTCCACATTTATAATCAATATCAACTAGAGAGCAATAAGTAATTATAATGAATTGATTACCACATTCATACATTCAATCTATATGCACCATTATCATCAACAGCCTTTAATAGTCCACTGCTGGACATAATAAGCCTCTCCTTAGAAAGGAGGTTTTGGCCTACTATGCCACGCCAGACGGGTTGGTATAGGGTTTGTGTCAAGTTTTCCTTCTCTCTGCAGTGCTTTTGTTCTGCGTAGTTTTTCCTTTAGTCGGCTCTTACGACACCCACGGGATGAATAGGGGTGGTGACATTCTGTATTCTTAATTCGTCACCACACGGACAATATGCACCATTATATTTACGTAATATTGTCAAAAAGAATTAGATGTTATATTTCACAGTTAAATCCAGAAATTCCAAAACATCTAAAAACAAAAAGGTAAAAAGTCAGGATAACAGCTAATCAAAACAATGATTTTTTCTATTCTCAAATATATTTTATCAAATTTACAGGTAAATCCGGTTCCATGCCGGATCTCAGACGGCACCTCGCTAGTCGCCAATCCATGAGCCTGGGATACCCTCCACACATGCTGCCGCAGCCACCACCTGCGTACTGGCAACACCTCGCTGACCGACAGTACGCAGCCAGCCTCAGAGGCTACCCGAAATCTTACCAAGCATCATCAATGCACGGTACCTGGGTTGGTCCTCGGTCAGGGCCGTACGATAACCCCTACAAGAGAAGACACTCCATCGTTGGAACGTTCCAAACTGACGAATACCCACCAAAAGGTTACGAAACCTACGATGATAGAACGGATTGTAAAAGCGAAATCGCATATCCCTACTACCGTCCTTACCCATACGACCCAAGAGTCTACTCCCAAGATTATGATCCAAGATTTTACCCGGATTATAAAAGAGAAAGAGAAGATTCAGCGTATGGAGTTAATCTTCTCCGACATGAGCCGTACCACTTTAGCGGGTCGAGGGACCGGGTGTATTACACTTTAGCGGGTCGAGGGACCGGGAGTATTAGAAACAGTCACGCTTCTGTAGGTAACGAATCTGATGACCTGACTAAGTACAAGGACGTAGCTTTGTAAAGTACTTATTGTATTATTAAACTCTAAAGCGATCTCCTATCTTTAAACTCGCGGTGCCGGAAACGATATACTAAAACAGTTCCGAACCTAAACAAAATGGTGCTTTATATACATATAATAAGTAGCTTAATACATCTCTAAATAAGGTTCGTGGACTTCATTTTAGTTTCAAGTAATGAGGTGTCATCTTATCAAGGAATACATAAGACAATGAAGATAGAATCCTTTGAAAATATGCGTTTCTACGTTCAATCCCACTTAGATGTAGCTGTAGTTTTAGTGTAGTTACTACCGAAGCAATGCAGGCTAGCAAAGCGATAAGGCAGATAGACAAGACAAAGCTTTATTTTAGTTTTAGGGATAATAAATTTAAATATGAAAGCTGGTGTAAACCCATCATCAAACAACATTTTCATAGGTATCCATAAAATAAATAGTTGTTTCATTGATGTTTTTTTGTCAACCGAACGCATTGCTCCTTCTACCTACATAGTCATGTATTGATGCTTTAGATGTCATTAGTAATTTTTATTTACATCAAATATTAATACAAAATGGATGCCAACATTCATTCGCAAACCACCTTATCATAGACATGGGAACAGAAAAATCAAATGAAGGGGGAAGAACGAAAATATAATAAGAAAAACAATTAATTCCGCTTGCTGTGTAAATCTGTCAAGTAATTGTCAGTAGAAATTTAGTTTTTTTAAGTGTGGCATAGTAGAATTAAGTAGGTACGAATAAATCAATGTAATAATAATAATTTTAAGCTGTTCTTAATTAATTTTCCATGAAATTATTGAATGATGCCTTGATAGGAGTAATTAAATTAGGTATATATACATACGTAACTTGTAGTTTAATTATAAATATATAGTGTAGTTACCTAATTAACCAAAGGTATAGTACTGTAAATTATAAGTACCTACAAGTAAGCAGATATCATTCATAATAATTGATGGTAAATACAGTCATTATTTTTTATAAATTGAACCAATAAATGAAATATTTTTTATTATACTATTTTTTATTGCTTTAAAACACCCTCCCAGTTAATTATGCCGAAATATATAGCGAAGTCCAAATAAGGGGCAGGTTTTAATTTCCCTGTTTCGTTTATTTTTCTTTGTACAAGCTTTTCCTTACCTTGTGTGTGGGCCAAATTCTCTCCAACCCAATTGATTGAACAGGCAGCTGTAATGAATAAGTATATATATTATGTAACTTCACTTAGGTGGTATATGTGGTGTGGTGGTGGGGTATGCTGTATCAAAGACATTGTGTCATGATAGATCCAGGAGGTGCTGTAGGAACTTATCATTTACTGAACATAACTCAGTCAAATTTGAGATCGTTCGAGTAATTTTTACATTTAGATATATAAAAATGTTAAGTTGGTTTGTGTATGCTTCTAAAACTCAAAAAGACGACAACCCGATTCAAAGCTGTTTTTTTATCTATTTTTGTTCTAGTTTTATTTCTCATTTCTTATAATTGCGACCATGGCGAAGCTTGGTAGAGTAGAGCTAGTAATTAATAGATATGTATTAGTCCAGGGTCTAATGGACAGATCCGAAGGGGGTGGAGGGGTGGTTGGTCATTGCAATTACTTTATTTCTTTCAAAATGTTGACGTTTAACATGTCTCGGCCTTTTCTTTCTTCTTTTTCTTTAAAACACGTTGTCACGCGATACTGTCCACTCTCCCACCAGGACTGCCCCTCCCCTCCGTCCGCTCACCGCTTACCCCGCACAGGGGCATATATCGATAGACAAAGGCCTACCTCTCCAGACCATTCTATAATTTCTAAACTTTGTAAATGCATATTAAAATAAGATACTTAGTAACCCTTTATCGTGTTTGTAATTAGCAACATACAAAGTAATTTACTTTTTAATTTTCATGACTTGTAAAGGGTGTCTCAGTAAGAGTGCACTTTTCAATTTAGATTCATTTTTTTGTGCAAGTGGCAACTCTGAAATTTGAGACCTATGTTTATTTCGATTATTAAAAATGGAGCGCTATCCAAAAGAACAACGCGTTATAACTGTAAAAACTCATTTCAAAAATAATTTAGCAAACTCAGGAGCTTAAACCAGTAGACCATGGAAAGCGCCGGCAATTCGTTCGATAGGGAATGGAGCAAAGTGAATTCGATGCCAATTTTTCGAAAAAATCGTCTCCTCCGATGAAGCGCATTTCCATCTGAATGACTACGTGAATACACAAAATTGTCGAATTCGGTGCTCATAAAATCCTCATGCAATCCATGAGAAATAAATGCACCCATAACGAGCAACTGTCTGGTGCGGATGTTGGTCAGGCGGCGTGATTGGGCCTTACGCTTTGGAAGATGAGACTAAGACCTTGCACTTCTAACTTTAATATGCCAAGTCTTTAATTTTAATTATTCTTATCTTTAATGTGGTTTAAGTTAAGTCAGTTTGAATACAAGTAACCGTAATCTACTCTCGTAAAGGGTTGTGGGATTAAAGCACGAGATGGCAGCAACTTACTCCACATAATATACACTAAACCCAGCATCGGAAAACTAAGCCTCGTTATGTGCGCTTTAAGGCTTAATAATATATATCAGATTTTAATTTTTATTTAACTGTATAATGCCAACTATACCTACCTACTATAGATTTCTTAACTGACATTTGAAATCCATTGCACATTGGATTTACTAAAATGTTATGTAAGCTGGCTGCATCGGTGGTGCTGTGGTAGGCGACTGCTGTGCTGATGTCTCGGGTCGGACCAAATGTTTGTGTGATCTGAAAATATTTGTTTCGGAGCTTGGGTGTTTTCTATGTATAATATATATGTGTGTGTGTATTTACAAAAAAGCATGATACGAATTATGCCAGTCAATCCAGCTTTCAAAGTTAAAGCTCTTAATCTAGTCCTAAATCCAAAGTAAACCTCATTTTAATCGCATTCTAAACATTACAAGGGAGGTAAATGTAAGTAGTTCTTGTGATGATCGTTGTAAATAGGAGTAGGAAGTATAATATTCCACTTCCCTCCTTAGCAAAGCGGGAGACAAAGTGAAGCAAAACACACAGTGTTATGTCCTTAAGTTATGTCATAGACAACCGTTGGCGAACCACCACCACCACCGTGCGCCACCACCACCGTGTGCCACCACCACCGTGCGCCCAAAAATCGCATTCCATGTTTAGTTGTGTTGAGTAGTACACAGGGCTACACATCCGCCAACACCGGCAAAGCCTCAATGCTAACCGTCCTATATGCTTTGCATAAGAATATCAGTGCAAGCTACTTTAGGATCTATGTGCTATGGTGCACCTGTATGAGCCGATATGGAAACCGTAGACGTTGTCTGTCGCAAACTGATACAAGGCCTACGACTTGCACTGATATTCTCGCTCAAGGCATATAGGACGGTTAACACTGAGGCTTTGCCGGTGTTGGCGGATGTGCTTCCGGTCGATCTCAAGGTGCAGAGACGTACAGCCATGTGTACTATTCAACACAACAGAACATGGAATGCTATTTTTTGGGCGCACGCTGGTGGTGGTGGTTCGCGAACGGTTGCCGAGGACATAACTTGAGCTGGATCGTTGTGTCGCTCAATATCTTGCAAGTCATGGTAACTTTAAAAGCAAACTGTATTCATTTAAATTAGTCGAGTCATCGTTGTGTCAATGCTCAACACCTAACTCTAAGTGTAAACAGTCTGTTCATCATATTTTCTGGGAATGTAGTCTTTGGTATAATGAACGTAATATAATGCTGAATAGCTTACAGGTGACATCTAGAGCGATATACTGTAGGAATCTTGTGTCAACTAGGGTGAATTGCCGTGCGTTTAGGCGATTCTGCCATACACATTATAGAAATCAAATATAGCTCACTTAGAACACATAATATTTTGTGGCTTTAAACCCTTTAAACAGGGAAGCACCACGCTTCCCTGTTTAAAGAGTGTGTGCTTATTTTACTTATTTTGTCTCCCGCTTTGCTAAAGAGGGAAGTGAAATATTATATTGCCAACTCCTACTTACAAATATCATCACTTTAAGAATTACTTACATTTACCCGCCTTGTAATGTTTAAAATGTAATAAAAATGAAGTTTACTTTGGATTTAGAAGTTCAAATTGTCGACATCTCTAAGAAAACATTGATTTTAGTCGTTAAAACACTACAATTACATAAACGTTTTAGCATCTTAACCACTAAAAAGTACGAACCGCGGGAGTTCGTGTCATCTGAAAGACAATTTTACCAATTCTATTTGGCACAAATATAGTAAAAATAGTTGAGGAAGGACTACGTTCTTTACAAAGATTTATCCGTCTGTTCATCTAGCTCTAATCAGACGACGCACACTACTTAGGTACTAAGTAGGTCTAGTAGAAGAGTAACAATGATTCAAAAGCGAGCTAACCCTATATGAGCAATAATCAGAGTTACGCCATCACCTATTAAGAATTATTACAACTATAAATGATGTCATCACTTGTGTATCTCTCTCCCAATTTCATTTGAGGCAGGCGCAATACGTGCTTTTATTCGTTACACTGCTTTGTTCCTATTTTAGCTATAAGTATTTTCTTTTACACACAGTCCATGCATGTTATCGTCGGACCTCATCTACTCTTGTAAACAACAACAACATTACACGCTTTACTATATTTCATGAGTGAGCGATGACCACTGCACAGAAGAATCTTTGCTTCAATTTATAATATTTATTAAGATCTGTAATAGCATACTTACTATTAGATTTCCTAGACAAAGAAACAGATACATTAGGTATTTAGTCCACATACTTATTACATTTAGTCATCGATTTATTTTTTAATTACTTATCACAATGTTAATCACAATAATTCATTAAATTAAATCCTATTCCCAATGCGTAAGGTTGACAGTTAAAAAGTCGACTATATTAGTATGTAAAGCGATGTGATATTTGACCTTAGGCCGTTGCGGATGTGTGAGTTTTAAACAATGTAAGAGAAGTATTACATGGATGAACGAAAACTAGAACAAATACCTTTAGAGAACTGCTTAAATTAACAAATTTAAGCAGTTCTCTATATGTATGTATGGTGATACGTAACAACGTATCACTATACATACATCTATTAATGCATTTTAGAACAAAACATTCGCTACTAGTGCGATAGGAAATAGGAAAACCATAAGAGTGAAAGTGACAGCTACTTGTTATCAGTACAGTAACAGAAGGCATTTTATGAGTTTTTTCCAATAAATTAGTATGTGCACGCGGTTTTTTGATCCTAATTAGGACCCTCACGTTTTGTGCGTTGTTATATAATATCGTTGGTGTTAAACAATTCTTTCATTGCTCTTCACCGTGTGAGTGTGGGTTACCTTGACCTAAATCCTCTTCCCCGAGAATCTCCTTAAATCTGAGGAGGAACTAAAAGGGCAGCAACGCACTTGTAACTCTTGAGTTGCAGGAGTTGCAGGTGTCCCTGGGCGGCGGTAGTCATTTACCATCAGGTGACCAGGTGAGGAAAGCTACTAACGTCTAAGTTTAATATGTAATGTCCTTTTTGTCACTTCAAAGAAATATTTTTATTATTAATCACTATATACACTCAGTAATCCTACTTAAAAACTAGATTCATTTCTCACAAGGCCGTCTGATGCAAAACTAAACAGAGTCCGTATTATCGTAATAAGTGGTATGGTGATAAAATACACCCAAAAACTAAAGAGATGATTGTGTTCATCGCACAATAAAATTAAATGTGCTCGGTGGGAATCAAACCCACGACCACTGACTCATCAGGACCCATTACTAAGCATTAGACCAACAGGCCAGGCAATTATAAGAATTATTAATGGCACCATGACGGTGTCTCGGATATCAGATTTTTTACTACCTCAAGCATCCATTCCAACAAGTTCTTGGAACCATAGGCGACCAATGCAGAACAAAACTGAACTGTGTGCGTAAAACTTTTGTGTTATGGTACTAACAATAGCTACTCAATTTTATTGAGATTGTTGATGATGTACGTGCAATAAATTAACGAATCATTAATTTATTGCACGTACATCAAAACATCATAAATTCATTTAGTATTCAGCACCAAATGTTTACAACACACAGATCACTTTTCACGGAACATAATGGGGCAAATGCCTACACTCCGATGATGTGATGAGGAGTAAGGGGTTTCAGGCTTAATAAAAAGTATTGCTTCCAACCAGTTAAAGTCAAAAGCACGCAGTTAGAACAGAATAACGAAAACATTGCATCTGTTGGCAAATTGAGAACGCATTTTAGCTACGTTATTTAGGAACATGTAAGACCTTTTGTGAATAAAAAATCACATTGATATTATAAAGATGAAAGTTTGTCAGTGTGTGTGTTTGTATATCAATTTTGGTAAAATTTAGTATGAACTTGCAGACACCCTAAAATAGTTAATACCTAGGCTACTTTTAATTTCGAAACAATAAAGTATTCCCACGAGATGAGGCAGGTACAACCACAACGTCGGTAATAAAAAAAAGGTAATGGTCATAGTCTACCTTGCGCCATGTAAACACTCCCTAACACGCACACGACGTTGGCAGTGAACAGATTTACTAACCATTTGACCTTTCCTTCTTACGATTCCGTCTCCTTCGCACGTTCTCATAAATTTATCAACAATCTCATTTATACAGTATCACAGTAAACATATGTATCGAGTTGACCACATCAGTCAAAATGTTTAAAATAATAATATTTTTGAGTGTTATAGCTTTAGCACATTCTAGCAGTGTTTTTGTTGGTCAAACTTTTGATCACACTGGAATAATAAGGAAAGTGTACGAGAAAATTGTTGAATCTGTAGCCATCCCGTTACTCAGGAGGGAAGAGGAAGTGTATTTCGAGTATCCATCAGGAGATCAAAAGATAAAAGGCATTGCCATTAAGGATTTACACGAGAGTGGGGCGAAGGCGTCTATCACCCGCGGCGGATTGGGCTTCGGTTTCGTCAACATTAAGTTAAAAAGTGAAAGAGGATCCGGACTTAAATACATTATTGAAATCTTTGCATAAGTTTTATGTAATGTGTTGTACGAAACTAGTAACAAGCATTAAGTCTTATCACCATTTGTCGGTACATTAAAGTTAAAATAAATATATGTATGTTGGTTTTATTAGCTTCATAGACTTATTTTTAATTCATGTAAGTTTGTTTTAATACTATTTTTTTGTCTAAAATAACAAATAAAGTTGAATTACTCACTGATTTAGGCTCTAACAGTTATAAAGTATCTTTATTTGCGAGAGTAGTATCGTTTGTCAACAACCTTTGTTATTGTACTTCCTTTGACTACCAGCCATGGGTAAGTAAATTGTGAAGCAAATTACCAAACAATCATCGCTGGCCGTGTCTTTGAACATTTATAAAAATTACACTAGGTACTGTAATCGTTAGTTCATGTGCCATTATGATAATCGGTCGAGAAAACTTAAATGTTATTATTCTATAACTAAAACATTTACCTAAAGGTGTGGATAGGATTTTATTCTACAGCATTCTCTGTCTTTAGTTTGAGCCTTAAAACGAAAATGATTATGAAATTCGAGGCCTATCACTGCATAAAAAATTAAGAACAAATCTACACTATGCTAGCATGATGAGCGTAGGAATATAAAAACACCTCAATTGTCTTTGATAATCGTTCGCACTCGCTAGAATTGCTGCAAGTGTCTTGTTTAAAAATTAAGCATACGAATCCGTTCATAATATTTAAGTACACCTGGTACACCTTTGATTATATGATTTATGAATCATGTGATTTATCACATGTGATTGTGATTTTATTCCATCCCTGCTCGGAAGAAGTGCGTTGGCGCCCTTTGAGTGTCACCTCCCCTTCCCCAGAATTTGGCGGTGAGGGGCGCTGGGCGCCTCACTAAGTTGCTAAGGTTGCTATTATTCTAGTCGAGCCGGTGCAAGCATGGCTCTTATGGAAGATTTATTATACATGTGTATATATATATATATATGTATAAAATTCAATAAATTTTAAATGTTTACCTGTTATTAACTTTAATACATTGGGATTACGATGGTGAATGTTATAAAAATAATTTACTTTATTTTTATAACATTCACAATGATTTTATTGTATCACTCCATGGCTAAGGCCACAAGTTATAATGCTAATCAAAAATAGAAGAATGGATTAAAATTGTAATTTTAAAAAGACATACTTTTATCATCATAATTCTTATACTACCTACATCACATATTATTTTTATTAAAGTGCGTGTAATGGATAACATCGATCACGGACTCATTCTAAATCAATATTGATATTATTTCATTTAATTAAAATTGAACAATGTTATTTTCCAAATTTATTGCAACAGGTAAATAAGAGAACGTTATACATAGTTTTAAAGTTATATTTTCACAAAAAAAACCCAGATGAAAAAAAAAATTTTGAGCATTAACAAAACGTTTCAGGTATGCGTGTTGCCAGGTTTTGTTTCAATACTCCTTTAATTTAATATGAGTAAATAAGATACAAGATACAAGATACAAGATACAAGATATTTTATTTGCATAAACATGTGTACATTAAAGATGTTAAGTAATATTGCCTGATCGACATGTTTGACCGTTACCGGTGTACAAATATAAAATTAATTTAACAATAGCATTTTTCTACATGTAACATAAAATCGTTTAAAAACATTTTAAAAAATCAAAAAAAGAAGAAAAAACAATTACAACGAAAGGACTCGAATATCATGGTTATAGGTATACATTATCAACTATTAACCGTCTACATTAATTTATTTAATCTAAAACATTCAATATTCAACATAAATATATTTACTGCAATCAATAATCCATCAATCATACAAAAAATCATCAATGATACATTATATCATTATGGTTATAAAGTGTTGTCATTCAAGAAATCCTCTAGTCTATAATAACAATTTTCAGCTAATAATGTTTTAAATTTCGTCTTAAATTCATTCATGTCCAAGATCTTAATATATTTGGGAATTTTGTTAAATATCAACGGCGCCTTACATACGACACTTTTATGCATCAGGGCTGTTTTTGCTGGATGGACACAAAGTCTATCATTGTCGCGGCGATTACGGCTTACATGGTCCGATAGCTTAGGAAATAAGTGAGGATTTTTTTTTACAAAGGTAGCCACCTCCAATATATATAGGGACGGTAGTGTGAGAATTTTGTATTTTTTAAAAAGCGGATTACAACTTTCACTACTTTGGATTCCGAACATGGCTCGAATGCATCGCTTTTGCATTTTAAAGATTACATCTTTACAAGTCGAATTTGCCCAGAAAATAATGCCATATCTCAGAACCGACTCAACAAGGCCATAATATGCTGAGAGAAGTGCATCAGTAGTAACTATTGGAGCAAGTTTAAATAAGGCATATGATAGACTGCTGATTCTTTTACTTAATGTTTCAATGTGATCCTTCCAAGCTAATTTACTATCTATAATGAGGCCAAGAAATCGAGCGTTGGTTACTTCTTTTACTGTATAATTGTCATAAACTAATTGTACTTGCAACGGATTTTGTATTCTCTGATTAAAATGCATTATACTTGTTTTATTCAAATTATTTTTTAAATTATTATTAGTGAGCCATGAAATAATAGATGTCAATGAGTTATTAATGTCAAGTTCATAATTGTTGATATCCTTGCATGAAATAGTAACCGTACTGTCATCAGCGAATAGGGTCATCGGTTGAATCGTTGCATTTGGTAAGTCATTGATATATATAATAAATAAAAGTGGCCCAAGGACACTGCCCTGCGGAACACCATATGAAACATAACGCTTCATGGAGGTGTACGTTTCTTCATTTTTAGTTTTAGGGTTTACTCTAGTTATTTGAGTTATCTGTTGCCTATTTGTCAAGTAGGATTTGATCAAATCAAAAATATTGCCTCTTATTCCGTAAGCTTTGAGTTTACTGAATAGTATACCATGATCAACGTAGTCAAACGCTTGTGACATATCACAGTAAATTGCACAAGTAGGTGTTTTCCTATCAATTTGTGTTATGATATTCTCAATAAATTCATAGACAGCCATATCTATAGATTTATTTTGTCGGAAGCCTTTTTGTTCATTGCACAGAATATCATACTTTTCGAGGTACGCATTAATTTTGTAATAAAGATATTTTTCAATTATCTTTGAAAATATAGATATTAATGCTATAGGCCTATAGTTTTCCATTAATTGTTTATTTTCTTTCTTGAATAGAGGCTTAATTATTGTCAGTTTAAGGTCTGCTGGAAATGTACCAGTTGAAATACACAAATTTACAATATAACTTAAGTGATGGCATATAGTTTCATTAACCGCCTTAATGATTTTAGTAGAGAAACCATCGTATCCAACACTATTAGTGTTTTTTAACTTTTTTATGATTTGATTAATTTGAACGGGTGTGCAATGCGTAAGGAACATTGAGTTAAGGCGTTCTTTCACTAAATTAGTCACATTTTGACCAGCACCTACAATAGGGGTGATTTTTTCAATAAAATAATCATTAAATGCATTAGCTATGTCCTTCGGATTATGAATATATTTATTATTATTAATTTTTATGTCCGTAATTGTTTCTTTTGGTAAATTTAGTCTCAATTTGCTAATAACTTGCCATGCCGCTTTACACTTGTTTGTAGAAGTTTTTATTTTGTGACAGTTTTGGGCAAGTTTTGTAAATTTAATTATTCTTTTAAAAACCTTACAATATTTAACATATTTTAATTTATTTTCCTTTGTAGGATGCAATTTATATTTCCACAGCAAATGCCTCTTTTTTTTACTGCATATTTTAATCCCACGCGATATCCATTTTGGTTTTCTGTTAACTCTTATTGTAATTTTTTTTAGTGGGAAACACAAATCATAAAATAGCCTGAAATTTTCTATAAAAGATTTATAGGCTATATTTGGATCACAGGTATGATAGATATTGGAAAACGTTAAGCTTCTAATGCAAGTTTTAAATTTACTTATATTTTCAGGGTTATAATCGTGTTTGAGTATATGCCAAGTCTCTAACAACAATATTTTTTTAATTGGTAGTTTAATTAGTTGTGCCATATGGTCTGAAAGGGCCAATTCTATAATTTCAGTTTTCCAACCTCGCTTAAAATTATGTGCAAAGTTGTCTAGACAGCTACCACTAGCTGGTCGCGTAGGTTCATACAATGCTAATCTAATATTATAATTCAATAACAAACATTCGAAATCCAGGGTAATATTATTACGTTTTAAGACATTTATATTAAAATCCCCTGCTAATAAAATACTTTTGCAATTTAGTTTCGAAACATGTATCAAAAGTTTCTCGAGTCTATTAAAGAATACATATAAGTTACTCTCATCAGGTACTCTATATATACAAATTATGATAAGTTTATAGTCTATAAGTTCGATAGCACAACATTCAAACACACGATCAAGAGAAAATTTTCTGATTTCTGAGAGTATTTTAAATTTATGTTCACTTTTCAATAAAATGCATGATCCGCCTCTTTTACTATTGCTTCGATTGTAAAATGATGCCAAGGTATAATTAGGTATATTCAAGTATAATTCGTGTCCCTCTTTAATAAAATGTTCTGTTATACATACCACATCTACATTTTTACCCCTGTCACTAAGTTCTTCCAAATTCACTGTTAATGTGTCTGCCTTGTTTAGCAGCCCCGCAATATTTTGGTGTAGGACATGTATGTATTCATTCTCGAAAAAACTTTGTATTTATTTTCGATTCGTTAGTCTGTACAGATTTCGAAGAAAATGAGTCATAAGTGATCTGGTTTTCATTAATATATAATTTTTTGTAATCCTGATTGAATAAAGAGAAATCAATTAGCATATTATCCATTATGCTGTCGTAGATATTTCTTATACCGGCTTTAGTGATTCTACCAGTCGTGTAGGAAAACATATCTAAGGATAGATTTCCATTGCTGTCAAAGAAGTAAGCATAATCATTGTTTTGTAGATCCAGCTGCAGGAGATTGTTAAACATTTCAACTTTGTAATTGTATATTGGTGCACCTCTTATATATGTTGGTGCACAAATTATTTTATTTGTGTGGGTAACTTTTTGTAGACATTCTTTTATCATTGTTATCATACCTATGGGATTGCTCTCCGATTTTATATCCTTTTCTCCAATAAAGATAATACAGTAATCATGTGAAGTGAAATCTTTCAATTTATTATTTAAGTTTTGTAACAGGTCTTTTACTGTACTGTTGGGCATTAGGTAGCGGCAGTATTTGAAGTATTTTGAAAAAACACCGTCAATTGAAGACAAAGATCCGCTAGATTTGTCGTTACTCAAAATACACAATTGCCTTTTTCTCGACTCGAATGTATTGTTTCTTGACTGACTGTTTATATGCTTTTCGCGATTTTGTGTTAACAACGTAGATACTTCATTAGTTACATTGGGTATTTGAGTCAAGGTGTTGCAGGTTTGTGTCTCTTTGTTATGCACAAGGAGCATGTTTTGAACGTATTCCTGTGGTTGTGGGTCATTGTCAGATTTGTGTTGGCAACTTTGAGCCTTTTTGATCTGTACTAATTTGCATTTACGTGTTGATGATGGTGTAGTGAGTTTTCTGTCAGGCGTTGAGCATATCTTTTTGTAAGCGTTTATATTGCCTATCATGTTTTGAAGATCAGATTTTAGTCTAAAATTTTCAGCGTTCAAATTTTCAATTTCTTGATGAGCACTCTCCAATTGCATTTTAAGTATTTTGATTTGTTCAATCTGCTCATTCGGAACAGTGTTTTCTTGAAAACTGTCCGGTATACTAAACATTGTTGTGTCTAACATGCTACTATCACTACTATCCGAAATACTTAAATCATTTAATGAGCATGTTCTGTATGGTTTACGATGAGTTATATTACTGCTGGGGGTATCCATTTGTCCTCTTTCGTTGTTACCCGTAACCAAGCGTAACTATTATTTTATACGTTATATTACGTCTTGAGTATTAGACTGCTGATACGGGATATGATACGGGAAATAATAAGTAATTGGTGAATAAAAATTAAAATAAATAATACCATTGAAATTTCACATCTATGCTAAATGAAGATAAAGCACAAATAGCTAATCAATTAACTGTAAAAAATAAGTAACAAAAAATAAGTTTAAATTTTGGAGTAAAGCAGTCATTCCCTAATTGAAACTCCAACCGTTTAAAAAGGAACTTTGCATAAGATGTTTTTATTCCGACTAAGATTTCAGAAATATAGTACTTTTTTAATTGTAACATTAAATTTGGAATTTGGGTTTAGGTCGTGATAAGGCGTATTACTGCTACATTAGATCTTACATTCAATACGTTTAAATCGTGAGGGAAATTACAGCACATTCGATAGGAAAAATATGTTATTGCAAATAATGTGGGCAACACCAAAAACTCATTTCCAGCTGTAAAAGATTAAACTCTCAAAGTTATTGGCCGCTCAATTTTAAACTCTATTACGTACCAACAGAATATAGTCATAAAATGAATATTCTCTGTGTTCAAGTTAAGGCCGAACACTCTTGATGGAAGTATTTTATCAACTTGCCCGGCTAGCGAGATTGTTGCGTTGGGTATCGCTTCATCTCTTTCTATCAGTCAAAAATTCAAGAGTTTCGTCGTCGTCAGACCTAACTTTTCAAAGTTTTAAGATTATACTAAAGTTACTTTTGGACGCACAATTTTGTGTTTAGAGTAGTATTATGGTATATTTATGTGAATAGCTAGTGTATTAAGTGCTGTGAATGTTGTTTTTATTAAAGCATGAAGGCTGTGTAACTGTTTATTGTTTCATGTAGGTGGCTACTTACTATTGTAGTTGGGCCCAATGTGAAAGTGTTTTCGCATAAAATTCGGATCCCATTGTTCGATCTTTCCGGGCATACGCTGGGAAAAACGCTAATAAGTGCAACTTGCGTAAGGAGTCTTCTCATTTTAGTGATATGTGCATTATTTTACCGAAAAGGAGCAACTGAATTTTGTGTTTGGTAAGTTTGTGACCGCTATGCATTAGTACATTTAGATAATTTTTATGGCTTACTAAACGATGTTAAAATTTAATGAAAGCGTACTGTCTTATTATCTTGAGTATTTACTTGTTAAATTGTTATTTTTTTAAGTTTAGTTCATAATACTGACGTACTAGTAAAAAAAATTACGAAAGCCAGCGGAAACACCTGTAAGGCTTCTTGGTGGTATTAATAGAAGCAATGTGAAAAGAGTACAGTAACATAATCGTATTTATTAACGAAAAAGTTTCAAAAAAAATTATCATTTTAGTATAACTTCAGACATTACCGGTTATTATTAGTTCTAAATATTTAACAAACTAGAGTATACTAGTTTGTTAAATGTTTATAAGCTTCTTTAATAACCTCCGTCCTTCTTATGCAGTCAAGTTATGAGAGTCTATTTAACACTGTCTAATAATTAATGGAAACATAATTTATATAAGGTATATTATATATACAGTAAATATTATTAAACCTTCTTTTTAAGGAGAGGCCTATGTCCAGCAGTGGACTATTAAAGGCTGTTGATGTGTGATGTGATGTGAAATATTATACAACAATGTCTATCCATTTAAATGTCTTAAAATATATACAAATATACAGTGTGTTGTGTGCGTGTATATCATGATCAAAACTAAATGACTTATTTGATAGAAAGAAAGAAAGAAACATTTATTTGCACAGAATACAGGTATTGGAATATTTCTTCAGTTAAAATGACACTGCCGTTGATATTTCTAATTATATTTTATGACCTAAATCAAGAATCAATAAAATAAATAAATCACATAAGTGAAACCTGATAACATGTTTGTAATTGTTGCTGTATACAACTGGGTACTTGCACAAAAAAAATATATTATATTATATATATATAAATATATAATTTGTGCACTATCAATGTCCACAAATTGTATCCACAATCTGCATTTGTGTCAAAATATGGCTCTCCCATGGCTAAAAAGTTATGTACGACTCGCACATGTACGAATCTCTGTGTGTAGTTATTGTTCAGTATTTAGTTGTGCCTATAAAAACTATCAAAACTTCACTCAAAAGAAGTAATACCATCAACATATTAGAGTGAAATAGGTCATTGACTGATAGTCAGTCACAGTAACGGAAGAACGCAATACTGATTCTGATGTCCCTGATTCTAGCAGAGCAGAACATGTAGCCACAGTGGTTTATGTCAGTTGGAGTGGTCATACTCCTTCTTCCATCATTCAATCTGTCAAAAGAATGTGGATTTATTTATTCTAAACTTAGCCCTCTACTCCATGGCATTTTGGTATTGGCTCTACCAAGCAAATACAGCAAAATATTTTGTAACTTAGTCAGTTAAATAGCAATTAGCTGATATGTATTACAAGTTTTTATCTTCAAAGTTTTTATTTATGAGAAGAGAAACAATTATTTTAATATTATAAAACCTGAGGTTATCTTAAAGATACTTAGATATGACATTGAATATAATAATAAATGTAATTTTCATATTATTCCATATATTTATTAATATTGTTTTCTTTTGCAGCATGGAAGCCACAGCAACTACGATGAATTTGCCAACATTGGAGAATATATTCTCCTCAGGTAAATAGCAAAACGGAACCATTTTATTAATTTTAATTTTTTTCTTAATTATTAAAGACAAGTTCGTAATTAATTTATTATATGAACTTTACATATATGAAATGGACACAAAAAGCCCCCAGACTCAGAACGACAATCTGAGATGAATTATGAATATGAGAAGTGCATATTGAAATTTCACCTGCTAAGGACCTCGATACATCTAGGACTAGTAATCTCATCTAAAGTAATCAAGGCAAAATTGGTTTAGAGGTTTCTTATAAAAAATCGCTCTTTGCGAAAAGATTGGCCTTCGGACCTCATCATTTTCTCGTCCTCATAAGTTGTCTTTAATGCATTCCATTTTTTAATTTTTATTCAAAATAACTTACTGAAATTTATACCAATAACTAGTGAATTGCAATAGAAGAATCGCTTATCATCGGTGTTCTATGTTAAAGTGTCGCCGATCAAACCGTGCCAAAGAATGGCTCTACATCAATTACAGCCATAGCTTTTCATTTCATTACCTATTTAAGACTAAACCTATTCACAAACTTATCGTATCTGCAATTAGGTCGGTAATCGCTAATCCATACAGTAGTAGATATTGTGGTAAAATAAAAACTTCGTATTTAAAGAATTTCATTATTACATTACTTAAGAATAAGACAATAGACAGTTTCACAAATATTCTTATCTACGTGGGAAAGCCACTATACTGTTGTAGCCAAAGTACGGAGAGAACTATGTATTCTGTATTCCATTTTTTCGTGACTCTTAAATTAAAATAATTTAAGTATTCATGATGACTACAAGATAATGCTTATGACAGTCAGTAACTGCATTTACCTTAATCTCCTTATTCGCAAGGAAACAAATCTATGTCAAACTTTGTTTGATATACATATAACAGGAATGTTGTTGAATTCCTTTGAATGGAAGAACATTACCATAGGTGGCCAAATTATTAGGGACAGTGCTCGTATTTATGTAATTTATAGTTTATCATATTTTTTTGAATAAATGATGTTGTTTTTAAGCGGTTATTGTATCTGATATATTTACTGGTATCATTATTATTGTTTTTGTCAAATGGCAACACAGAATACGTGCGTGCTTTATCAATTGTGTGACGTTACTTCTTTGCCCGTAAAAAGCGCGGTTTTCGGTATTATTGTTGTATTGTCTAGGTATTATTTTTTCATTGGTTTTAACCGACTTTTGTGTCTTAATTAATCAAAAGGTAAGTAATGCTCCGTATAAGAATAGTTTTGCTACGTTTTGTCTATGAGTTTACATTTTATTAATGGTTCGACACGATAACCCAAAATTTTAAACTTTTTAGGATGGGTAGGACTTTGGACACGTCTCCAAGAAAATGTAGAGAGATACAAACGTTGTTACTGCACTCCACACATTCCCAGAGAGACATAGCAGCTATTGCTTGGGTTTCAAAGTCTGTCCTCAATAGGATAAAAATAAAATTTGACAATAAAAAGCCTCTTGAAGCAAATCGTGCTGGCAAATATGGCAGGAAAAGGATTACAACAGCTCGTACCGATCGAAAAATCAGGAACATCTGCCTCGAAAATCGTAAAAAGAGCGTTGCTCGTTTAACAACTATGATAAACGAAGAGGGCATAAAGATTTCAGAGAGGACAATGCGGAGGCGGTTGGTCGAAGAGAATCAACCACGCCTAACCGATAGTATGAAAAAGAAACGACTCCAATGGGCTAGGCAACATCGATCTATGACTATTGCAGACTGGAGTCGAGTAAGTGTAACTATTTTGTATAATGCAATTGGTCAATAACAATTTATTTATTTATTCTACTATTCATTCTATTAATTACCGGTGTGTTTTTCCGACGAATCAACCTTCGAAATTTTGGTTGTCAAAAGTTCTTTTGTAAGACGATGTCCTGGTGAAAAGTTTTACGCTGATTGCCTTGTAGAGAAGGTGAAACACCCGGTTTCATGGTGTGGTCTGTCATCTCAGCCAAAGGCATGGGGCGCCTATACATCGTGGAAGGGACTATGAAACAAATCCAATACAAGCGAGTACTAGAAACGCGATTACTGTGCAGGTCAATGAATGGTTCCCTGATGATGACGAATACATTTTTATGCATGACTTAGCACCGTGCCACAAAGTCAGAAGTGTAACTGCATTTTTGGCTGAAAAAAATGTCTCTGTTTTGCCTTGGCCAGGGAATTCACCAGACATGAATCCAATAGAAAACATGTGGGAACTCACCAAACGGGCGATCGCGAAAGAAGTGATTACCACTAAGCGACAATTGATTGAAACTCTCATCAGAGAATGGCATCACAACTCCAAACTCCAGGAAAATGCAAAAAAATGTATTGAGAGCATGCCCGACGCATAGAAGCTCTTATTGCAGCAAAGGGTGGCATCACTAAATATTAAAAAATATTTTATTTATTTTTACCAATGTTGATAATACTCATACGAAGAATATAAATAAGTTTTGTATATTGTTTTTTGTAGTTTTTATGATCCTTATAGAATACAGATACGTAGAAAAAATATATAAGAGACCTACAACTAATCGTTTGTTACAGAAATCCAATTAAATTAGGAAATTCAAAAATTTCGATACTGTCCCTAATAATTTGGCCACCTACTGTATATTTACTACTACGATAAACTCAACTGTCAGTTGACTGCTAGATCGCGTAGTGGTAACGGACTGCTACGCCATAGGTCGCGGGTTCGATTCCCGCTCAAGTCAAACATTTGTGTGCATGAAAATTTAATGTTTGATTTGGTCTAGGTGTTTCTATGTATGTATTTACAAAAAAAAAGTATAAATGTATTATTTCAGTTGTCTAGTACAAGCTCTGCTTAAATTGGGACTAGATGGCGTTGTGTGAATTTGGTAGAAAAAATTAAATGAATGTAACGGAATCTTATTCATTTTACTAAATTGGGAGCCATCCATTACGATATGTTTGTTAATTTGAGATTCTCCTCTTCTTGGGATAGGAACTTGGAAAACCTTTCAACATAAATCGAAACCTTGACATATAACGACAACTTTTGTTTCTCTTAATAATAATAAGGAAGAAAACCTTTGAAAAATATCGCTTTCATTTCACCGGATTCAGCATGAGAGTTTACATACGGTCAATCGTAACCATAGCTGTAAACACACGGAATGCAAGCAAGAATAATTCTTAATCATTCCCCGGGGGTTTGGATACAGCGATAGTGGTGGGGCAGACAGTCAGCCTATTAATTCAGTCATGTAACTGTAATAATGTGTTCAAAATAAAACTTATGCTGCATGTATTTGGTAACGACTAGTTTCGTATGTATTGTTACCTTATGTTTAAAGGTCTAGTTGGTCAAAGTAAAACTGCTGCTTGCAAAATGCTGCTTAGAAAAATGCCTCCATTGCTGAAGGTTTGATGTAAAAAATGTTGTCGCAGTATGAATCAGACGTTGTTTGCTTTATTCTCCTCGACGTGCATACCAACAGGAATACAGTACTTGAACATAAATAGGAAATGTTTATTTTTCGTTTGAAGTGGCGGACACTCACGGCTGTACTACTAGAATCGTCTAGATCTAGGGGAAAAGGGGGTAATAGGAGTCACTTAAGCAATAATTAATATAAAACACAAAACATGTATTCAAGCTTTATGAAAATTAATTCTTATGGTAGTTTAATTATTGAAATATCAGCCTTAGATAGTTTCGTTACCTTTGGAATAACTAGGAAACTTGAAAAAAAAGAAATTATGAACACTTTTTGAAATAATAAACAATGACAGTTAATGGCAGTGGGATAAAACTCCCATGGGCCGCATTGCGGTGACTCTTATTACCCAATTATACATAATGTGTAAGAAATGAAAAGAAAATTACATTTTGTCATTAAAACACACAAAAAGATTCCTAATCGATAATTTAGGCTCATAGGCGCACACCGAACTCCTCTTAGTACTTACATTTATTATAAAAATGTATCTATCACTTATTTTGTGCACCCGTAAAATTGCATCGAAAATGCCCCAGTGTGCGGTAGCCTTAATTTGTGCATCGTTTCTTTAGGTGTTTTCGTTTAGATGTTAAAACGTTGACCACCATTGCACACTGACTCCCATTGTCCCTTTTTCGCCTACTAGAATTTGGCGGCGAAGGCAAAATTGGTAGAGACAAACTTTCAGCAAACCTTATATTAAAGAACCAAAAGCGTCGTCTTATTGTTTCAGATGAATAGTTAATAACCATATATCATGTTAATTACATCGTCCATTTTGTCGTACGCTCGGAAGCCATCTATAATAAATTGACAACAGTTTTTGTCTTCAAACGCTTAAGAGAGGTTGTGGTTGACATGCAAACTAATTAAAAAGTGTTGCATATAAGAAAGACATTCAAGTCCTCTTTTGTCAACAGATGAAGTTATTTTATGACGGAGTGCTAAGCTCCGTTACCGCGCCATGACAATAAAGATATATGCACAACGTTTAAAAGTAATAAATTATCGTTCCATTTTCGAAATTCTTTATGCATTGTTAAGTAGGTAGTTTTAACCGATTCATAATGATGTAGGCACATATAGGTCTAATCCTTTTTTAAAATCCGAGATTAACTAATACGACACAGGTCCACCCTTTTTCTTTCTGTGCTAAACTCCCCTCGGATACCACCCACCAGTGGGTGATTATGTCGGGCTGAAAGATTCGGCCTAGTTATCCGAAACCGGGGGACCCTGGCCACTTTTGTGACGGCGAGGTGCAGTTCGATCGTGGACATCTCGTTCGCGTCCCCTCGCTAGCACGTCGTGTTCAGGACTGGCGCGTCGTAGTGGGGGAGGAGACGAGTTCGGATCACCGATACATTCGGTATGCGCTTAGATCGGGAGCTCCTCCTGGAGGCCGCTATCGTTCAGGCTTGGGCCCTTTGGCCGGAAAGGCCTGTCGACGTGGATTTCGAGGGAGAGTGGTGGTGAGTGGACCGACTCACAATCCTGACCAAGAAGAG